GTCAGTTCTAAAGGGAAAAGGGGGGGGGGGTTTGAATGCAGAAAAGACAGAAAATTAAATATGTCCACAAATATAGGCACTCAGTGGCACGAAGAACAGGAAAAAGTCTTCAACCAGCAACTAATCTTGATTGCAACACTTTTCAGGTTTGCTCGAGAAGTTTATACTGACATGTCTCTAATATCTCTAGAAATAGAAAGCAGGCATGAATGAGATAAATACATCGTAACATAAAACCGTAAAAACAAAACATGCACTATTGACAAAGAACACTGAAAATCCTCCAAACTGACATATTTAAAACTGCGTCCACAACCAAAAGATATTTATCTTATTTTCACAGAAGACATAGAATCCCAGCAAATATTCACTTTTTGGCAGCTAACTACGTTTGTCACCACTGGGTATTGGGCAACCGGATTAGTAGTATGTAGAGGTACTTCTAAGGAGACAGGGCTGAAACAACAGAATTAATATGTTTGCACTTTATGATTTATATTCCAGATTTTCTAAGAAATGACGCGGCTTTTCAACAGCAAAGAAGAACATTTCTTTTGGCATTACTTGTCAATGCCTTAGTTAAATTTTTTGATGAACAGCTGATTTGCATATCCCACATGCCAGTTCACACTAACACACACACAAGCGCGCACGCATGCACGCACAAACACACACACACACACACACACACACACACACATACAGCCAGGATATAAACTGTGGATGCTAGCCACTCATACAGGCAGCACCTGTCAGCTGGTGTTCTGGGACAGCCAAGGGCCTGTTTGTTTGTTTCTCCCTCTCTCTCTTTCTGTGTGTGTGTGTGTGTGTGTCTATACCTCTATCTGAGGTTTCCCCCTTTTCCCTCAACACCCCCTCACCTCTCCACCTGCTGTTCCTTCCTTCACTCCACCCCGCCTCTCTGTCTGTCTCACTTCATACCAACCATCATACCATCATCCATTAGATCTCTCTCGCTCGCTCTCTTTCCCTGCACCTGTGACTGAAAAACAGACTCGCTCAGTCTTTCTCTGCCTTCCTGCTCATTACAGCCCCCAGGCAGCCACTCCATCACAGAGAAAAGGCAGAGATAAGCTACAAGAGTACACCTGTGCCTGGTATGAATGCCAAATCCAGAGTCAGTGACAGCCAATTCCAGGCCAAATAATGGAATCAGCGAACCTCAGCTTCAGACAAATCAACCTGACAGCTTTATCTCACACTCCCAATTTCAAAGCACGTTACAAACCTCATTATTAAATGAAAAAAGCAATCAGTAAAAAAAAAAAAGAGAGAGAGAGAGAGAGAAATGTTGACACTGCCACAATGGTGCTCGCGAGGGATTAAGTTTACAAATCTCATTTACAGATGGAACAGGTGGGAGAAAATAAGAAACATATTTTCATTTCATCAGCAAAGTGCTGCTGAAAGTCAACTGACAAAAGGAATAAAAATATGTTATAACAAATACATGCAGCATTATTTTGCTCTATATTAGTAACAAAAAATAGTTCCTTCATTAATGATTGGAATAAAGAAAGAAAGAAAGAAAGAAAGAAATCCATATATTATCAAATATTCATGTCAAATCAAATCAGGTTTATTTGTAAAGCTAAATCTCACAAGCCCAAGCTTTTAGGTCGGCAGTATCAATGGTTCACAACCCAGTCCAAGCTCTCTAAGAAGATAAAGAGAGCAAAGCAAGAAAAGGGGAACAACCCCCAGATAGAGAACCTGCCAATGGGTGAAATCACAAAAAACCAATTGTAAAAATTGAACAGAAGGTTTATTTATTTGCTTTTACTCATTAAGCTTCAGAGCACCTGAGAGAGAATATGTGTGACATAACCAGTGCCTGAAAGCTTTTCTCTCACTGTTTATTATGGATTATTGACAGCTAAACTACAAAAACCATGAACCACAACATCCCTGGTTTGCATCCAGCTAGATCTCATGATCTCACATGCAAAATCAAGATCCAAAACCTAATTCAAGGTGGTTTTAAGTTCTTTGTAGGTTGACATCTTGGGAAATATACATTTCTACCTCTCATGTCTGTATATTAAATATGAAGTAACAGTCAGCAGCCAGTTGGCTTAGCTTGAACTGGAAACTAACTGAAAACGTTTTTTTAACAAATGAAATGACACACAAAATAGTACACTTCCTGTTACTGGGATGAATGATGGTGAAATGATATGCTCCACAGCAGTCCAAGACCCAGCTTCCAATTAGAGTCTGACCAGAGAGCAGTTGTTTGGCGTAGTTCGAGTCTGGTGTTCACACCAACCCAAAAGAACCGCACCAGGGGGGTTCAACCAGACTACAGAAGACTGGTATGCATGCTCCGTATTTGTATAGCGCCTTTCTAGTCTTTTTGACCACTCAAAGCGCTTTTACACTACATCTGCATTCACCATTCACTCACATTCACACACTGAGCCCATCGACTGAGCCTAAGTGCTCAAACAGGAACTAACATTCACACACATTCATTCACTGGCGGAACAACCGCCAGGGGCAATTCGGGGTTCAGTATCTTGCCCAAGGTACTTGCCCTTCGACATGCAGCCTGGAGGTGCCGCGGATTGAACTGCCGACCTTTCGATTAACGGGCAAGATAACAACAAGTTGTGATTTTCATGCTAAGCTAAGCTAACTGGCTCCTGACTGCTTCATATTTAAACAAACATATAGTGGATGATAGTGGTGTTTATATAGTGTATTTCCTATATTGTCAAACTATTCCTTTAAACCTGAATAAAAGAAGATATTTTTTGCCTCACTGGTATCAGGATCAGTTGATCAGAGATAGCCGGTCAAAGCTACTCAGGCTAATGTGAAATAAAGACAGCAGGGGTTAGTTTCTCCTCCCTGAGCTTTATTATCTGAGTATTCATGACAGAGAGCAGGAGAGAGAGATGATATGTGTGTGTGTGAGAGAGAGATAGAGTTTGTGTCCACTATGTAATTATAGATTTAGTAAACCCGAGGCTTAGAGTGACTCAATCAACCTCTGATTTGTTGGGTGGATGGATACTGATGAGGTGTGTGTGGGGGTGTGTGTGTATACGTGTTTACCAGTGTGCAGGGGAACTGTACGCATATCAAATATTGTTCCACCTTTTCCCCCAAGATATGTATGGTGTGTCTCTACCAAAAAATGTATTTGTTTTTGTTTGTGTTTGTGTGTGTGTGTAATGGCATCGCACGTTAATAAGAAAGCTTTTCGCTGATGAAGGCAATTTTTATCAAGAAAAAAAAGTCCAGACTCTTTACAATGCTATGGCGCATTTATAGTGATGATATATGGATTTTTTTCCCTGAATACACCAAGAGGATTATGGGATTTGTAGTAAAAGAAAAATTAAATTGCAGAACACTTCAGCCTTTTTTTCACTTTTCTTAAATTCCTACTTAAATTGATGTATGTTTTTCAAGCATTGCGTGTGCTCATGCAGACAATGCAGATTATTACAAACTGTAAAACAATGAATAAATAACTTTTGGAAAAAACACTTCCAACCACTGTCACTACTTCAAAATGTAGTGTGCAAAACTTAAACATTACAGTTTATACACAAGACGCCTACAACGGCAGCCTTCCTTTAATTGCGCTAAGCATCTTAATTCATTTAGTTATTTCAACTTCTATGTTCTTTTAAGAAATAAAAACACAAAACAAATATTCTTAAAGCTCTGAAATGTACCTGTGCTGGTGTGTGTGTGTGTGTGTGTGTGTGTGTGTGTGTGTTTCTCTAGGCATGTGTGTCTGACAGCATGAATCTCTGCTAATAGATCCACTGCGAGTCTATAAGGCTGAAATACCACAGTGTAAATCATTGACATTAAATCCATTTTATGTTGCAGGCTGACCCGGAAAAACAAAATTATGGCTATACTTGCTCTCTCACTAATTGGAATAAGATTGGAGATGCATTTATTCACTGAACATATAATAGTACCCTCCAGCTTCGAGCTCCAATGACGGTCTCATCTCTCCTATTCATTACACAAATCAATGACGTGCATATCCTCTGTTATCAGAGGTACAGTACGTCCAGGCCGGAACAACACATACAATCTGACTGGACAAACAAATCGAGCAAGTAGATCATCAAAAAAGGTGATTAAGCAAGATAGAAAGTGATTAAAATAGAAAAGTCATATTTCAAGCCCACTCATGCAGATCAAAAACTTAAAATATATGACTTTCTAAGCCATATTGGGACTTTACAGCACAGAATAGAAGCAGGGATACTGTGTTGTTTGTTTATAGACATCATAGGGCTAGGAAACATGAGCAAAAATCCAGTTTTAATTTATGTTTTGCTGCAAAATGCAAACATGATAAATGCATCATGTTGACTTTATGAGCAAGACTGCTGAGCAAGAATACTGAAAGACCTGCCCCACTTGCAAGCATTTAACATGTTCTCCATGCAGATGTGGACTCTGAGTGCAGAGCAAAGATATCCACTTTAATAATCAGTGCCAGCACAAATAAAGCAGAGAAGACTGCTTCACATCTGCTCCAGCCATTTCTGTTTCAACAAGACACCAACCCGATATCTGCAGACTGCTGGCTAGCTAGCGTTAGCTTGCTGGCTGTGGGGCAGGGTCAGACTGGATGAAGTAAAATCGGCACACTGCCCAGTCAACTAATCCCATAACCAGAAAGAAGGCCATGTCAACAAACAAAACCGAAGCGCACGGATCCATTTTCAGTGTTTCTGTCTTCAGTCTGTCACTCTCATAGATGCATAGACACCTGGGGTCACGACAGTTTGGTAAACTGTGGCGGGTAATGTACCCTATCATCTACTGACTGAGTGACATAACCTTTATGGGTTTTAATATCTTGATTTTCATGATGCAGACATTTTAAACATCTTGCAAATACAAAACCTTTCATAAACTGAATTAATTTGATATGCGAGTCATTTTAACAGGAAATGGTGGTCACATGCGCAGGAGTACCCTATGACATAATCACTCACCAAGGCCGGGTGGGTTCTCAGGGCACGGCGGCAGCGGTTTGGGAGAAGGTGTCTGGTTGGTCTCGGGCTGCACACTTGGCATCAGCTGCTCTCCTGTGGCCAGATAGCTTGCTAACGTTGCGTTGGGCCTGGAAAGATTGTAATAGTAATAATGATGTCCATTCCCTGCTGCTCCGCTGACATTATTCCTGGATCCATTGCGGCCGTTGTTGAAGCGGCTGAAGAGGTCAAAGCGCTGCGAGTAGACATCAAAGTACAGGATCATCATGATGAGGAAGTGGAGCAGGCAGAGCAGCAGGACACCTTTACAGATGCGCTCCAGAGTCCGGCCCAACATCAGCCGGGTCATGGCCGAGGAAGATGACCGTCCGGCGACGGCCAGCCACGACAACGCTGGCGCGGCTACAGGCATGCGCTCATCTGGATGGCCATGTGGGTAATACAGCGGCTATTAGATCTCTGATAAGGACATGTGGTTAGCTCACACCGACTATCTGACTTCTGCAGAGGTCATGGGGTCATTAATGAGCAGGACAGGCATGCTACACAGTCCGCTACGCCTAAAGTCTGAGTTGCCAGCTTGTTTCTTGTGCATCCACAGATTCCCTGCATGACAAAAGCACTAAAATGTCCCGGGATGAGATGAACCTTGATTATTGCTTATTCATTAATGTACTTAACTTTAGACATAGCAAATAAGTACTAATGATAAGTTTAGTGCAATCTAAGGCACCGATTTCTGCTGATATAGGAATGTGATGATATGAGTTGGTCACTATTCCAGAGTCAAGGTGCTGCCGCAGCTATGTGGTATCGATAGGTTAAAAACCAGTCCAAAATGTCCAACGACTAACACTTAAAACCTCCAATTAATTAGTGATAGAGCACAACTAAAGCTGCCAACAAACATTCATCAATGTAGAGTAAAGGGTCAGCTGACGTTTCAGTCAAGATGTCCGCTTCTTGTGGCATCAGGCCGGTCAGACTTGCAGAGTTGGTTGGCTTAAACCAGTCCCAGGCACCTGCAGGAATATGAAAGAAAAGGGCAATTTAATTACCCAAAAGTATGGCTGTGTGCTGTTAAACAGTCTTATTGTTTTGACTGATTGTTGAGACCAATGCAGGTGAAGTGCCATTAATCATAGCTGTGCATTTTCATTCAAGACATTCGTTGTATAAAATCAAACAGAACATCATTGATCTTCCTTTGGCAATTTAAGAGTATTCAGTGACCTTGTTCTTATTTGACATGCCTGGTTGAATAGAGGTGAAACAAATTTAGAAGTGGACTCTCAATAGAAAAAAAGTACACATGAGAATTTGACATAAACAGATTCAACAACAAAAGCATCTACAGACGCAGACAAACAATCAGCTTTGACTGGAATCGACATGCCAAGTCAATTTTCCAGTCAAGTGGTTTAAAAAGCATTTATGAGACGGCAAGTGGGGAATACACAGCGCAGTCAACATATGAGCAAAGGAGAGAAGGAGGGGGGGGGCACTTAGAGTTTTCCCACAGGCTATGCTTGTTGTAGGTTTATGGCTTTTCCAATCAATGAGGGGAAAGACGAAGATGAGGTTGAAGTAGATGATAAAAACCCTGACCGACCCAGACTTTCCGATGAAAAACCAACTGACTTTCCGATGAAAAACCAACTGAGTCAGAGAGAAAGAAAGGGAGGGGGTGATAAATGTTGAAATACTGATGCCGGTATTTGGAAAAGGACGGATGTCTCATGCATGTGGAAGCTCAGATTTTTTAACAATGGTACTTATCATCATAGATATCCTCTGGGAAAATCCTGTAAACTTGGCAGATGCTAGATATTTGCAAAATATTTAGCATATCTGGAAATTTGCTGTTCCACCAGCCAGATTCTCATCCTTGATGGGAGGAAGACACATAAGCTTGTTCTGTCTTTATTTCAGACTACTTACTTTTAAGTGTTTGATTCTATTTCTGGTCATCCGATACTTTGACCTGGCCTAAATGTTTTGTAAACTACTGTTTGGTAAATAGAGTTTGGTATCAAACCATAATTCTTATTTAATTTAATACTCTAAACTACCAAAAGTTGACATTAAATGTCATAACTCCCTTTATTTATTCTTTAATCAGATAGCTTCTGATTTAAATGTAAAATCTAAGTGTGAGCTTCAATCATAGTCGATTAAAATGTTTTTCGCTAGCTCACTTTCATCATGGTGGTGTCTTAAAGGGTGTTTTTTTTTCCAACCCGGACCTTATTTTCCAATGTCTCTGTGTCTATGTGACTAACTGGAACAACATTTTCTGAAACTGGTACAGTAATGAGCAAGCATGTGGCAGTCGCAGCAGCAACACGGTGCTGCAGGCTGCAACGTAATGCGCACTGTCAAAGTAAGTCCATTAAAGTGCTTGTTTTTGCCACTGACAGGCTCAGATTGTTATTGCAAGTTTCTGAAAACATTGTGGAAAGGATCCCTACAGAGATGTACCCTTTTTTAAAGAGTAAGATCCTTCTTGTTTAACTAGAAACAGTCACTATATCGCTCTCTTCAAAACCACCAGACTCTATTGATAAAAACAGTAATTTTACCTGTTTGTGTTATTGTGTGTTTTAAATGGTTAAAAACACCAAAGTCCCACAATTATGCACACTAACCAATCGAAGCAGTGGTAGATCACAGAGGTAAAATTACAATTTTTGTCAAGGGAGTCTGGTGGCTTTAATAAGAGCGATATAGCAACTGTTCTGGTTACCAAAAAGGATCTTAAAAAGGTCTATTTCTGTATATTAAGAGATGTAAGAGATTTAAGTATTACATTTGAATTTAAAGATTAGAGAATTTGCTGCTTTGTATTTAAAAAATTACATTGGAATTTTTTCCACATGAAAAATGCATTTGCTAAAGAAAAATCCAAAAAAAGTGGGTTATTGTATTGTATTGTTGTATGATGATTTGTATTTGTAGTGATTTATATACATAAAAAATACTTTTAACCAACATGGAAACATGTTGGGTAAAAGTATTTTAAAAAGATCATGACTGATCAATGAACTGTATATAAGGAAACCATGAAACAACTTCAGACAAAACAGTGACGAGGGCAAGATAGCTGAAAACATCTAATAAGCCATTGTGTTTCTGTCCAGAAAGTTAGCTGCCTCGCGCTGTGTCTGTCTTTTGTCTTTGGACAGCAAAGTCGAGACTGCCAAAACTGAACCTCAAAGGGTGTGTGTCTGTGTGTGTGTGTAACTTGCTAGTTAATGAGATAGATTTCTGCTGACCCGGACACCGCACGGCAAGTCACTGCTAGTGCAGGTCAGGATTTATTTCCTAGCTGCGCTGCTCTTCAGTGACTAAACAGGCTGGCATGTGATGTATCAGGGGTGATTTCTGGAAAAATATGGTGTGGCAATCAAATAGATAATCAGTAAGACTGACAGAAGAGTCTTGCCTATTTTCTGCTTCAACTACAAAGCAGGTTGCCCCCCGTGTCCAACAGGTGTTGAACCATGTGATAGCGTAGTGTGTGGCACTACTAAAAATCAGCAGCAGAAAAACAGAAGAAATAAATCCACTGACAAGACTGAGAACCTATTTATCCCCGGATGACCAGCTGCTCAGAACTTACAATATAGATACAACACATGTCATTGTTTTTACTCATGTGAGGTACCAAAGACAAAGCCCATGAGAGCTAAATCCATCTGTACCCCAACCTCTTTATTTGCTGACATTTCCTCAACTGAGTTTTCTCAAGACAACAAGAACTATCTTGGGATTTTATTTGTTTTGTCTTGAAAAAGGTCAGCAGACCAAAACAAAAGATGATAAAACAGTACAGAGGAAATCTCTGTCTTTCACTTGCTCTCTTGTTCTTGTATCCCTTTATTTTTTTTGTCTCTCTGGAACATCTCACAGGGATTGTATACACGGCGGTGCAGAGTGTTCACTTTCAACTTAATATGTAAATGGTACCTCGGGAGGAACCACAAAGCCAGGCATGAGTCTATAAAGCTATTTCATTGAGAGAAAGACCAAGGACAGAGAAATGAAAAGTCAGAGATGGCCACAGTGACAGAGAGAAATAGACCTTTTATGTAACCAGTTTATTCAAGGATCCCTCCCATTTTAACAGCAGCAATAAATTTCAACAGTCCCCGGTAATATCGCGTCTGCCAAGGAACCCACAGAGAAATGCTGAAAATATGTGAGGAATCCATTAAGTTTAAAGGTTGTTTCTAAATGAGCAGACCAAAGACTAGACCGTCCACATGTCATGTAGAAATGATCCATCATCATCATCATCATAACAATGAGCAGTTGTAAGTTACAACAAGATAAGTTTATAGCTTCATCAACATAAAACCAGTTGTACATCCCAATCCTAATTTGTAAGGATTTCAGTTTTTCCCCTTCCATGGAGAGTAGTGGGTTTACTGATCTCTGTGTAAAGCTGCAAGAAAGCGCAGCCTCCGTCACAGAGGTTAACAATTCAATTGGTTGTGGTTGTAATTATAATACTGCAGAGAAGAAATTGTGAAAGAGGACGTAGTCAAAGTGAGCTTACGGGATCAAGAGGTGCGGCTGGCTCCTCAAGGCAACATCGTTTAGAATGCCATTCAGTACCAAATAAATTGAAAAACAACTATTACAAAAAAATGCATTAAGATTAATTTAAATTACACACTTGGAAAGTAAAAAAGGTCATTGAAGGAACAGTTTTGGGAACATTTTGGAAAACCAAAAACTTGCTATCTTGGCGAGAGTCAGACGAGAAGATTGATACCACTTTTACGTCTGTATGGTAAATATGACAGTTAGCCTAGCTTAGCATAAAGACATTTAGATCCACATACCAGTATATCTAAAGCACCCTAATTAACGCATTGTATCTCATTTGTTTAATCCATACAATAACAACAAAAGAGTAAAAACAACAAATTGCAGTGTTAAAATTTCCCAAGCTGTCATATCTCAAACTATTGCTATACATTTGCCAATGAGGAATTGATAGCTATTAAGTAAGATAGTAATCATGTAAAGTGTCATGTTAAAATGATCGCGTTGTAAACATACATGAATATGAATGGATGCAACTAATCAGCGGGTAGCCAGACAGTCAGTGATTGGGAAGCAATGAAGCAACTACTGCCAATCACCTAATACAAGAGCAACTAACACGGTAAATCATTTTTTATACGTGTTGTTTTGTTATAATTATATTTTTGAACTTTTTTACTTCATTAGATAGAACAGCTGCAGAGAGAGACGGGAAATGTGGGAAAGAGAGAAGGGACGACATGCTGCACTCAGCCTCAAGATGGAATCGGTACGGACTTTATTAGCCCAGTGAATTAATTGATTAGCTGAAAAGCAACATGCAATCAACAACAATTTTAGGTTTTTTATACATACTGCATAAAGAATTTGCTGGTAGCAGCTTCTCAAATATGAGTATTTCATGCTTTGATCTGTTTGGTATCATTGCAATTTGAATATCTTTGGGGGTTTGTACTAAATCATTTGAATACATCACTTTGGGCTCTGGTAACTGTGTGTGATTGCATTTTGTAAACTTTAACCTTTACTCTCACTTCACTCATTCAATTCTATGCATCTTGTCTTTCTGGTTTTCAGTACTGAAAAGACATTATGTTGAATGTAATAGCCATAGTCCTAGAACTTGCCAATCATAGGTTGAAAGTTATTTTTATGGATTAGAAAATCAAGTATAAATAGGATAATTATGGCGATAAAAATTTATATTTGAGACCTGAAATCCACTATCATGTAACAGCTAGCCTCCCCTATTCACGAGAAAAAACAGTAAGCCAAGTAGCGAACTGTACAGTGTGATTCTAACTAGGTGACCCAGGTTTCTTTTAGCTCTGTTTACAGTGACAAATCTCTCTATCACTTCATCTCACATGACTGTGAGGACCTTTAAAAGTGACAGTGTGTCCCATTAATATGACAACCAGCAAACATGAGCTGTCGTGTTATAAGTCTTACCTTATTATTTAATATG